GATCAAATGTTACAAATTTTACTTGAGTAACTTTAAACAACCTTTCTACAAAAGTATAAAGGTCAACGTCCGTAAGAGAGACCGCATATTCCAGCTGCAGAATCACGTTGAAAGTCATTCCACGTTGCACGTTAAAGTAATAAGGTAGGACAATGGGCCCCGAGACACCCGCTCGCGGCAGCGAATTACATGTCCCACGTTTGCTGTTACTGTTTTATGAGCGGTATAATTCCTCCGGAATTACGTGCGACTCTAGACTCGCACCTACACACGAGCGGAATTCCCGGCTCCCACCGATCCCTTTGTTCACGATCCTGACGAAACTCCATACTCGCCGTTCCTTTGCGAAGCAAAAATCCCACTGATTGTCCTCTTAGAATTTTATGATCGCGTATTTCCGAGGAAGAAGAAAAAGATGGTACTATATGTTCGTGGAAACAATAGCAAACAGCTGACTCCGGTACTCGAAATTTAAAGGTCGATCCTGAAGGAATCTCTTGGGATCTTCACGTCGTAACGGGATATGGCAATCAAAGCGAGTTCAACCATTATGTTTTTATTCTGCAAATAAAGATTCCACTTGTTAGAAAGAACTGTAAGAGTTCTCTTTTACGTTCTCCAAATGGTTTTCTTTTTTTATAAAAAGAATAAGCTTTTTGTCTCCTCACGATTTAAATTCAAAATTCAAATACCAAACACACATTTTAATGCCATATTAGACTAATTTAATATTAAATTTAATTTGAATATAGTACTATAATATGAACTAATAATAATATGAATCGTTAATGAATTATTAATAAACGAATTTTTTAAAAAATAAAAAAAAATAACCATAACATTTAATCAATTAAAGTATCCGTGATAAAAGCAAATAATATTGTAATAATAATTATGAATGTATAATTGTATGATTATATCATTTGTACAATGTTATTCGAACGAGATTACCCAAAATTATGCTGCATCACTAAATATTATACATTATAATACGGCAAGCGCTCGTTTCCTTTTATTTTCTTTTGCAAAAAATGAAAAGGAAAACAAGTCAATAAGGAAAATGCGTGAGTCGCAACGTATGTGTGAGTCATCTTGCTTTATGTTATATCAAACGAAATGTTTCTTTAGGAAGTGTTTCGCATTCATGCAACGCAATGGCTCAACTTTGTGGCTTTGAGAATTTTACTATCGAAAATGGTTATCGGAGAATAAAACTATCACTGTATCCGCATTATAATGAGATTACATTATTATTTACTCTCTCGAAAAAAATAATCAGAACTTAATTATGATATTAAGATGCAACATTGCTGCGAACTTTTATCTTAAGCTGAAATGAAATATCTGTAATCTAAATCGAATCGAGACTTACAGTCGCAAGTCGTAACGGCAAAAGTGTTAAAAAAAACAATATTTACAAGGAGAGCCATCGACCGTTGTTGCTCGAGAATGGACAAAAAAAAATCGGATTGAAGAGAGAGAGAGAGAGAGAGAGAGAGAGAGAACAAAAAAAGAAATCAACAGAGAATTTACATGCTCCAGTTTAGATTATCGAGCGTCGACGCGAGCACTTTCTTCCTACGCCACGGCTGATTATCTTCTTTGCTTCGTAGCATAGCGTTGAAAACATGTCTTGATTCTGAGAGAGTAATTACGTGACGAGAAACACGAGTCCGATATTCCGACCCGGCAGCGCAATAGGTACCTCTTATAAAAGAGATTATAACGACTATTAATCTCCGCGCACGTTTATCGAAATTACCTCGCCAGATGCTGCTTAAAACATATATAATAGTTATTGTTTGAGATAACGTAGAAATTGCTTTGATAGAGTCACATTTTACAATTTCGCGCATTTTTATATTTTAATAAATATAAACTCTATTTGCGTATTAAGTAAGGAAACAATAGTACAAAATGTGGCACAACGTTAATTATTAAAATAAAAATAAAATGAATATATATATAT